TCACCGTCCTTCACCTACCTACACTATTCTTCACCTACCTACACCGTCTTTTACCTTTCCTCTACTACCTATGCCGTCCTTCACTTACCTACCTTCCTTTTCTTACCTTGACCATGCTTCCCATATCAATCAAACAAAGTTCAATAATTTTTAAAAAATGAAAATATTAAAACTGCACCCTTCACATCCCCAACCCACATCACTGGGGCCTTAGCATCGTATTTCATACATCACTGGGTCTTAGCATCGTATCTCCTACTTCATAGTTAACGATGAAATGTCTCAACATAGAATATTATCAGATTTAGGCCTGTTCTAAATGCGTTTGAGTCTATGTCCTATCATGAGACACAATGAATTTCTGTCCAACCATCAAATTTCCATCAACTAAATTTCTGTTGACTCCTGACACCAGTTGTCAGAGGGTTTACTTCTCCATAATATTCTATTAACTTATTGTTCTAGAAGAGAAAATATTATGAGCAGTGAAATATTTCCATTCATTCCACAAAATACCACTCGCTGGAGCCGTCCGAACAAACTCTCTTAGTCTGCATTCCTAAACTTCCTGGGCGCCGCTTGGCAGGCGACTCGATTTCATCTGTGCATATTTTTTTCAGATTTCGTAATAGCTGAGGGGTTTTCACAAGGTTCTCTTTTGGGAACAAGGTGTTTTGAATGTGTTTTATTCTGCGTTGACTGAGACTCGTGTGTTTTACTCTGCGTTGACTGAGACTCGTGTGTTTTATATCACGAGGAACAGCGGTTACAAAGACTTTCTGGACATCATTGCCCTAATCCAAGCCGAATCCATATCCGCCATAAGGGGAACAAATTGATAGGCCATCTTGTAAACAGATGGCAAGATCAAAACAACCATTCAAAGACAAATGGGCTACTGGCAAAAGGAGTGTCTCTGATCTTTGAGAGAAAAAACGAGAACTCCGTTCAAACAAAAATCCAAGACTCTGTCCTCACTCAAGAACTCAACAGTTATTCTTACTGCACAATGACACGCCGAATGTCTTGCTACAGACTAATATTAAGGAGCAACGGAAAACTCAAACAAGACTTTTCAGGACTGAAAAAATTATCTACGATGAATGTAAAAAAAAAATGCCCCAGCTAGAATCCTTACTTCCTTACGTGTCCTTAATTGTCCTTAAATTGTATTTCCAGCTATGTCTGTCACACTAATTGTCATTGGTACGGTGGCATTCCTTTCTGTAATGTCCTTGAACCTGACCAGCGCTCAGTGGTCCTCAAGTATTGGATGGGGTGGAGCTGGTAACGGAAAACGGTCCAGCGATCTGAGGTCCCTCCTTCGTCTTGGTAGTTACCAGATTCAACCGAAAACCGACAGCCGGTCCACAAACTTGGACCCCGACAGCCGGACCACAAACCCATGTCTCAACTTTCAACAGATGAAATTTATTGGAAATCTTGCTGAGGTAAGGCTTCAATGTGTTATCCTATCAAAGAGATTTGATTTTAAATCCAGAGTCAGGGAAGGTAACCAACGCTCTTCTGGTGGGTACAAAGGTCGATACACACGGATGCTTTTTAAACAGCATTGACTGAAGAGTGCTGCCCCCTTTTAATCGTAGACCACGATATGAAGATTATCAGTAAAAATCTTACACTTATTCACTTAAGTGTACATCAAAATCCTGAAGTTAGTCATTTAAAAAAAAACTCATTCCTGTTGTGTAATATGTAAGGGAGATTTAATGGAGACCAAAGAACAAACTTATTTTTGTTAATAATGAAATTTAGATTTAATGTTGTTGTTTTTAAAGAAAGAAAAAAACTGAACTGGAGCTAGAATAATGACATGTCACTTGGGGTGGGGTGGGCACATAGAATCTAAGGTAATAATTTTGTTTAAAATTGTATTTCTTTTATGGAGCTTTAGCATTCTTGATCTATTGACCTATGAATTGTTATTTTAAACAATATACAGTTGCTTTTAAAAAAATATATTGCGTAGAAAAGACAGATCATCAAATACTTTGTCATTGTTTCCCCTGTGAGTGCAGGAAATTTAAATGATTTATGTTTACTCCTGTTTATTTTCGCTACGTTTGTTTTAAAGCATTTATTATTTCTCTTCAAGGCTGCCTCTGACCGATTAAAACTATGCTGTGTTGAGGTTGTGCTGGACACGTGACCTGGACTTGCTACAAACACAAATCAGCACACGCTAACTTTAAACACAGCGCTTATCCTTAATCTCATAATCCTTAGATTGGTCTTGTAGCAAAAAAATGGATTTATTCTGTACACTTGTTTGCCGGGTTAGGGGAGAAAAAAAAGGGGGGGGGGCGATACTTTCCTCTGAGCAGCTCGTTCAATGAAATTCCGAAAAAGGGTAATATATACAATTATAAATACATATATGATCAAGGGGTGTAATATTGGTGATGTAAGAGTGTAAATTTGCTGATCAAGGAAAGTGATAATGCTGAACTAGGAATGTAATGCCGCTGATTCAGGAATGTAATGCCGCTGATTCAGGAATGTCATATTTATGATTTAAGAATGTAGTATCGCTGATCTCGAAATGTAATTTTTTTTAATCTAGGAATGTAATTTTGCTGATCTGGAAATGTGTTATTGCTGATTTAGAAATGTAATTTTGTTGCTAATCCATAGAAAATGTCTATTGAACTAATCTTTACCTAAAGGATAGAAGAAAAGTATGCCATTGCATAACATAATTGTTGTTAGTGATGTCATTGTAGTGTACCCACAGAAATGACCAGATCTGTCTTCTCTATTCGCCTCTCTATTCGCCTCTAAATTTGCCTCTCTATTTACCTCTCTATTTGAATCTCAATTAGCCTATCAACTCGCGTCTCTATTCACATCTCTATTTGCCTCTTTTCGCCTCTTCGTTCACTTCTCCATTAGTCTATCTATTTGTCTCCCTATTTGCCTCTCTATTCGCCTCTTTAATCAACTCTCTATTCACCTCTCTATTTACCTATTTATTCGCCTGCCATAGCGTCTCCATTTTCCTCTCTATTTGCCTCACTTTCCATTCGCCATTAAAAATGCTCCAATAGATAAATGAGAAGAAAATCCAAACATTTAATTGGACTACAATATTCGTAATAAATTGCACAGCAGCTTGATGTTGCCCTAATTGTTGAACGGTTTAATACCTTACACGTGCACCTGGTGACCCTTACATTTATTGACGTCATCGAAATAAAGCTCTCTTATCCAATTCATGAATACATCGTTACTGTCTTGTAAAGGTTATTGTTAGTTATTTTACCTCTACTGATGGACATCTTCTAGGGAAAGATGTCAGCAGAAGAGACTCAAATAACCAGACACCAGTTTAGTAGATGTTTTTTCAACCATATTAACAATCGCCATTGCTACAATAATTAATCAATAACAATAAAAGAAAATAACAACACAACCGACCAATCGGAATGAACATCCTAATGACGTCACTTTATCAAAGGGAAAGCACTTCGAAAGCTTCACGACGCCATTTTGTTTTGTTAGGTTAAGAATTCAACCTTTCCACCATTCAACAGTTGATTCATGTGTACGTATCAACCTTATTTTCTACTGTGTATTTTATTGAATATATCATTTATTTATAGTTACTATCCAGACTGCCCCACCATTTTGTAGCCTCACTATTCCAATTGAAATTAAATTTATGGAGAACCGAATGTGCTTTTGTTTATAAGGATTTTATTTTATTTAATTATTAACGTAGGAGCTTAGTCAACCGGTCATTTTTAACTTCTGATATAAGGTAGGAGCTAAGTTAACTGGTCATTTTCAACTTCTGATATAAGGTAGGAGCTAAGTTAACTGGTCATTTTGAACTTCTGATATAAGGTAGGAGCTAAGTTAACTGGTCATTTTGAACTTCTGATATAAGGTAGGAGCTAAGTTAGCTGGTCATTTTTAACTTCTGATATAAGGAAGGAGCTAAGTTAACTGGTCATTTTGAACTTCTGATATAAGGTAGGAGCTAAGTTAACTGGTCATTTGAACTTCTGATATAAGGTAGGAGCTTAGTCAACCGGTCATTTTGAACTTCTGATATAAGGTAGGAGCTAAGTTAACTGGTCATTTTTAACTTCTGATATAAGGTAGGAGCTAAGTTAACTGGTCATTTTTAACTTCTGATATAAGGTAGGAGCTAAGTTAACTGGTCATTTTGAACTTCTGATATAAGGTAGGAGCTCAGCTGACTGGTCATTTTGAACTTCTGATATAAGGTAGGAGCTAAGTTAACTGGTCATTTTGAACTTCTAATATTAAGTAGGATATCAGCTAACTGGTCATTTTGAACTTCTAATATTAGGTAGGAGCTCAGTTAACTGGTCATTTTGAACTTCTGATATAAGGTAGGAGATCAGCTGACTTGTCATTTTGAACTTCTGATATAAGGTAGGAGCTAAGTTAACTGGTCATTTTGAACTTCTAATATAAGGTAGGAGATCAGCTAACTGGTCATTTTGAACTTCTAATATTAGGTAGGAGCTCCGTTAACTGGTCATTTTGAACTTCTGATATAAGGTAGGAGCTAAGTTAACTGGTCATTTTGAACTTCTGATATAAGGTAGGAGCTCCGTTAACTGGTCATTTTGAACTTCTAATATTAGGTAGGAGCTCCGTTAACTGGTCATTTTGAACTTCTGATATAAGGTAGGAGCTAAGTTAACTGGTCATTTTGAACTTCTAATATTAGGTAGGAGCTAAGTTAACTGGTCATTTTGAACTTCTGATATAAGGTAGGAGCTAAGTTAACTGGTCATTTTGAACTTCTAATATTAGGTAGGAGCTAAGTTAACTGGTCATTTTGAACTTCTGATATAAGGTAGGAGCTAAGTTAACTGGTCATTTTGAACTTCTAATATTAGGTAGGAGCTAAGTTAACTGGTCATTTTGAACTTCTAATATAAGGTAGGAGCTCCGTTAACTGGTCATTTTGAACTTCTGATATAAGGTAGGAGCTCCGTTAACTGGTCATTTTGAACTTCTGATAAATGTTTTATTTAAAGCGTATTTTCGTTGATTGACAAGAATATTTATAGCGCAGACTTCTGCGTGCTGAGAATGCAGACATAAATAACACAGCTGGAACTCGTGACCATTCTTAAGAGTGAAAGTATTTTAATATTGGGTACTATACAGCGTTGAATAAATCATCAGGCTCGACAACTTTCAACATTTAGCTTCGAGTTACATCCCCTGGTTGATGACAGGCATCTGTAACTTGAGGTTGAACTTGTGCCCGCCCACCATGACGTAGGATGGCATCTCCAGGGAGAACGTGATGGGGAGGGCGATCTCCGTGTTCTTAAAGTGACACGCGACCTGGGGGCTGTCCTGGCCGTCCGCGTGGTGGGGCGCGGTGTGGGCGTCATGGCTACTGGCTGAGGGCGTTTCTGAAACAACACAGAGCAGAGGAATAACAGAATTATTAGTTGAACACTTTTGAGAGACACTGCGTACCTACAAGAAGTAGTGGATGCCAGGGTAGGGTTAATAGGGGGCCTCTAATGGAATGGTTTCTGCCATTGGCCGGCCTGATATCAGGATTTGTAATTTGGACTATGAAATGAGGCTTGACATCTCTTAAGAACAAAAAGTCTGACCTATAAACTGGCATGGGAGAGATCTGAACCACAGGACGGGAATTTTAACAACTCCAAATGACTTTAAAAAAAAAAAAAAATTTTTAATAAAAAAATAAAAATGAAACTAAAAAGCATGACATCACAAGTCACATGCTTCTCGCGCGCATCATCCGAGGGGGAGGGGAAGGGTGGTGGGGTGTTGCTAGAACCAGTTACCCTAAGCAAATGCTACACTTAAGAATGTATTGTACAGAGATCTCAATGGCGTTATAAATTAAATGTATTGGAAAACTTGAAGCTAACTAATACTCCGTTTTCTGTTGGAATATTCTGATGATCTCCCTTTCACCACAAAAACGGTCACGTCAACACTAGGTCATATATTTTTTTTTCCCTCACATGCCATCGTGAGAGATAAGAAGTTGATCTTTATTTCTACAGATGGCAGTACCAGGGGCGATAAACAGTACATTTATACATTGCCAGTCACTGTGAGCTGACACTACGGTGTTGGATATTATCTGTTATGTTGGATATTATCTTGTTTTTATTTTTGAATATTAGATGTAGTTTATTATATGTTTGCATTCTTTTTATCAAAATACTAATGGCTTTCATGCCGCATATGAATTACAATGTATTGTTGATTTCTAAATCTTGAAAGCCCCCCCCCCTCCCCCCCCCCCAAAAAAAAATGGGTGAAGAATTTATCCTACTAGCAATGAGAGAGGGACTGACTTCATAAACATGACTGAAACCAGAGTTTGCTGTATAACTGGATGTGCTAAATTTCAATGAAAATGAATCAGTGATCCGTGCTGGTGTATCTTTTGTAACATTTTGTTGTTGTTGTCGTTTGTTGTTGTTGTCGTTTGTTGTTGTTGTCGTTTGTTGTTTTTGTTTGTTGTTTTTTTTTTTTGTTTTTTTTGCAAGACAACACGTAAATATGTGTATGCTTTTGAAGTAAAACAGTGTGTTGACAACTTTCTTCCTGAACCTCTGTGGTGATAAAGATGAAGAATTGTCTGATTCCTTCTGACATTCCTAACAGTTCATTGGCACCAATGCTTCTCTGTGTGCCCACTCTAGTAACTGGGTTACATATGATGATTTTATATGAGAATATTTCTTAAATTCAATAAAATTAATTACTTATTTCAGGAGGATAACATTTTAAATATCTCATGTTCTCTCTTATTATGATATGAACATTACCGTATATACTCGCATATAAGCCTACATCGCATATAAGCCTACATCACATATAAGCCTACATCACATATAAGCCTACATCGCATATAAGCCTACATCACATATAAGCCTACATCACATATAAGCCTACATCACATATAAGCCTACATCACATATAAGCCTACATCGCATATAAGCCTACATCACATATAAGCCTACATCACATATAAGCCTACATCGCATATAAGCCGACCCCCTATATAAAACTGCTTTAAAATGACCAGATTTTGCAAAAAAACCGCACATAAGCCGACCATACCATTGTCTCATTTTACTCCATATTTTTGGTTCCTATCAATGTGTTCCTGTCAAGATGTCAGATGTTTACTTTTATCTTACATACCTGTTTGTTTACCTCTTGGAATGACACAAAAACGTGTTCTGCTCTTTCCACATTGTGTGCTTTAATACTATCTGAATTTCCGCTCATAAGTTGTTCACAACGAATGATTAACGAAGTAGATATTTAGGAATTTCTTGTGTGGAAAATTGGCACTGGTGTCTGTCCTTGTGTCCATTTTGTTTTATGCGCATATAAGCCGACCCCCCTGATGTCAGTATTGTATTTTATAGTTCTAAATTCGGCTTATATGCGAGCATATACGGTAGCTCTTTCAATGTCATTTTGGTTATTGCGAATTATGATATGAACATTAACTCTTTCAATGCCATTTTAGGTATGGCAAGGTACACTGAGTGTTAAGCCCATCTTAACTAAAAGAAGCGTCGTAACTTGCGACCATTTGGATATGCCACATAAGATAAGTGATGTTATCATTTTATTTTGATGACAATCACTGATTGAGGGGTAAACCCATTCTTATGAACGATGCGCAAGCTGAAGTTGGGGAATTGGGGAGGAGGGGGGGGGGTAGGGGGGCGGGGCCTTTCAAGCCAACAATGATATTGAGCTTAAACCACATTTTGAGAAAATGATACTAAGAGCTCTTGGCCAAGCGTGGTGTGAAATTTTGGATCCTACTCTGCACGGCAGTAGGTGATTAAGGAGCTCCTCTATGCATTCCTCATGTTGCATTTGTTGGAAAGATGTTTTAGTGGTCATACAACTAAGCAACTTAAAGAAGCAAATAGTATAGAAATATGAACACAGCTCAATTTCTTTATAAAAGTCCCTCAGCAGCCACCGAAACTGCCATCACTATAGCAAGACCATTCATCCCATCACAATTGATCGACTCTACAACCTCTACCCAACTAATTGGCCGACTTTTAGAAAACGCTATTCTAACGCTTAATCTACTCATTATTTAATTTTTTTTTAAATTCCATCTGTGTTTTGATTAAATGTTAAGTTTGAAATAGTTGTTGTGTAAGAATAAGCTAACATGTAGGGTCATAACAAACGTCACTCCTCTGCTGAGAATTTTTATATTAGGTTATGACCATGGGGAGAGCGGTCAGAGCTAAGCTATGTGCTCAAGGGGGCTGTGGTCGGAAAAAAAAGTTTGAGAACCACTGCTCTACATCAAAGTCAAATCTTACTCTATGTGGTTTGGTATTTAGGAAATGTTCACTGCTAATATAAGTTAAGTCAGGGGTGAACCATTTAATTTGTTTTAAAGCCGAGTTTCATACAATCAATAAAGATTGTGTACATATAGACCTGTATACACGAGTAGCCACAGATAACTCATAACAAGTCGACACAAATCTCAACATACATGTCTGACGGTGAGGTGTCTGCATAAGTCAGCCTGACCTCGAACTTCAGAGGATAATGAATCATGGGACCGGAAGTGACTGGCTCGAATTTACTTTCACTGTTAACTGCAGAAGGAAGTTAAATAGAAATTTCTTGATATATGATCCTAGTAGTAGATATGATGCTAGTTATAGATAGTATCCTAGTTATAGATATGATCCTAGTTTAAGATATGATCCCAATTTAAGATATGATCCTAGTTATAAATATGATCCTCACTATAGAGGATTTATTTTTGAACAGCTTTTTTTTAGATATTTAAATTAAGATCAATTTGGATTTTAAAAATCCTGGAATAAAGAATTCTAAACATTTATTCATAGCGAGATAGAAATGGAACACTTTTTATGAGTGAAAGGCAAGTGCCCCCCACCCCACCCCCCCCCTACGTCCACCAATAAACCAATTCGCACTGAAACATGCCCAAAAAAAACCCAATTGGCACTGCCCCCCCCCCCCCGGAAAATCTGAAGTACGCCCCCAAACCGGTTGGGGGAAGGGGGGGGGGGGACATTTCTGAAAGAAACACTGGTTGGATGGATGAATGAATGGTTGGATGATTGGATGCATGGATTGGTGGATAGATGGGTGGGTAGATTGATGAATGGGTGGTTGAGTGGGTGGATCTGTGGGTGGATGGTTGGGTCGATCGGTGTCTGGGTGGGTGGGTCGAATGGTGGGTAGATGGAAGGATGGATGGATGGTTGGGTCGATGGTTGGATGGATCAGATGTGTAACTTGGTCTATGGGTGGATGGATGGGGGATAGATCGGTGGGTGTGGATAAGTGGGTATATGGATAAGTGGTTGAATGGATAGGTGGGAGTGATGATGCGCTAGATCAGAATGATTTTTTTTTCTTTTTATTATGCAAGTCTGTACAGTGTTTGTAAGGACAGCGTAAGTATTGACTGTAAGAATGGACAGTGTAAGTATTGACAGTGTAAGTACTGACAGTGTAAGTATTGACAGTGTTAGTTATTGTGCAAGTATGTGCAGTGTTTTTGTGGACAGTGTAAGTATTGACTGGAAGAATGGACAGTGTAAGTATTGATAGTGTTAGTTATTGTGCAAAATCTGTACAGTGTTTGTAAGGACAGCGTAATTATTGACTGTAAGAATGGACAGTGTAAGTATTGACAGTGTAATTACTAACAGTGTAAGTATGGGCAGTGTTAGTATGGACGATGTAAGTGTGGACAGTGTAAGTATTGACAGTGTAAGTATGGACAGTGTAACTATTGACGGTGTAAGTGTGGACAGTGTAAGTATGAACAGTGTAAGTATGAACAGTGTAAGTATGGACGGTGTAAGCATGGACAGTGTAGGAGTTTACTTAGAAACATTTGCATCTAACACAAGAGCTTCCACTCACTTCAAACTTGTCTCTTTGGTGACGTAAGATAAATCGCACGTATGTCTAACAATCCAGGAAACACACGTAGAAGGTGATATGTTGGTAACGAAAAAGTTTCTTCCAGCCCTAACATTACACCAGTGTTTCTCAAACTTTTTTTTTACCCCAAGCCCCACCTAAGCACCTGAAATTTTAATGTCCACGTGAAAGTCTGTTTGGACTCATTCGATATTGTAGGTGAAAACTTCCCTACCTAAAAGACTAAGTGCCCCCCCCCCCCCAAACCAAACCGATCACCAATAATCTGAACGCTCCACACTGGAGATCACTGCTTTCATTGAAAGAATTAGTTTCATAAATGCACTTTTATTTCAATATAATTTCATATCGTAATCGTAATCGGAATGGTGAATTGGTGTAAATTTATTAGATGTTAATTTATGAATGATGCGTTCTTACATTATCAGTGGATAATGGTCATTTCAGTAAGATTTTAATCTGTTCACCATCTGATGGATACTAAAGGAAAGCCTGCGTTCAAGCTGTGTGAAGGGAGTAATAGAACTGGGTGTGTGGAGGCTTAAAATAGAAAGACGGGACAATAAGATAAGAACGTTTCGGCCAAGAGCCTTCCTCAGCAGACCGGAAACATGAAAATAAGACAAGAAATACAAACTAGCAGTTGTCGTATTTTCTTCCATTTGTCCAGTTTGCTGAGGAAGGCTCTTGGCCGAAACATTCACATCTCATTGTCCTGTCTTTTGATGCAAGCTTCAACACACCTTGTTCTACTATTTCCTTCATAATCTCAACGGACATGACATGTTTACATTCAGAAGTGTCATGAAATATTCACATTCGGAAGTGTCATGACGTGCTCAAAATCTGAAGTGCCATGACATGTTTACATTCAGAAGTGTCATGACGTGCTCAAAATCTGAAGTGCAATGACATGTTTACATTCAGAAGTGCCATGACATGTTATGTAATCCACTAATGAAAATCCGTCTGGTCGTCGTAATACTTCGAGTTACCGTCTGCCACTTCAACAACGGCTAACAGAACGTGTGCCTTATGGTGTCATCGACTAATACAACAACCGTAATACTTCGAGTTACCGTCTGCCACTTCAACAACGGCTAACAGAACGTGTGCCTTATGGTGTCATCGACTAATACAACAACCGTAATACTTCGAGTTACCGTCTGCCACTTCAACAACGGCTAACAGAACGTGTGCATTATGGTGTCATCGACTAAGACAACAACCGTAATACTTCTAGTTACCGTCTGCCACTTTAACAACGGCTAACAGAACGTGTGCATTATGGTGTCATCGACTAAGACAACAACCGTAATACTTCGAGTTACCGTCTGCCACTTCAACAACGGCTAACAGAACGTGTGCATTATGGTGTCATCGACTAATACAACAACCGTAATACTTCTAGTTACCGTCTGCCACTTTAACAACGGCTAACAGAACGTGTGCATTATGGTGTCATCGACTAAGACAACAACCGTAATACTTCGAGTTACCGTCTGCCACTTCAACAACGGCTAACAGAACGTGTGCATTATGGTGTCATCGACTAATACAACAACCGTAATACTTCTAGTTACCGTCTGCCACTTTAACAACGGCTAACAGAACGTGTGCATTATGGTGTCATCGACTAAGACAACAACCGTAATACTTCGAGTTACCGTCTGCCACTTCAACAACGGCTAACAGAACGTGTGCATTATGGTGTCATCGACTAATACAACAACCGTAATACTTCTAGTTACCGTCTGCCACTTTAACAACGGCTAACAGAACGTGTGCATTATGGTGTCATCGACTAAGACAACAACCGTAATACTTCGAGTTACCGTCTGCCACTTCAACAACGGCTAACAGAACGTGTGCCTTATGGTGTCATCGACTAATACAACAACCGTAATACTTCGAGTTACCGTCTGCCACTTCAACAACGGCTAACAGAACGTGTGCATTATGGTGTCATCGACTAAGACAACAACCGTAATACTTCGAGTTACCGTCTGCCACTTTAACAACGGCTAACAGAACGTGTGCATTATGGTGTCATCGACTAAGACAACAACCGTAATACTTCGAGTTACCGTCTGCCACTTTAACAACGGCTAATAGAACGTGTGCATTATGTTGTCATCGACTAAGACAACAACATCCAAGATTGGTTGGGATTATTACTCACCTGTGTGCGTGGGCTGGACAGGTGCGGAACTGACGGAACACTGGAGTAGGCTAATGCACAACACACATAGGTGGAGCACTGAGGTCAATTGCACATCAAACATTCTATGAAGAGTTGTTGTATTATACAAACAATGTGTGATGGTTTTAAAAAAAATTAAAAAGACTGAAATTAATTGAAGAACATGTCTATAACTAAACAACTGCATGTCATTAATCTGTCAACTGCATGTCATTCAAACCGTTAACTCCATCTCATCAATCTGACAACTGCATATCATCAATCTGTCAACTGCATGTCACCAATCTGTCAACTGCATGTCATAAAACCGCCAAATTCATGTCACCAAGCTGTCAACTGCCTGTCACCAATCTGTCAACTGCCTGTCACCAATCTGTCAACTGCATGTCATCAAACCGTGTTGAACGTACGCGTTATATCAAGAGCTTCTTTCCTCTAAGCTCTCTGAGAAATTAGTGTCGATAACAAATTCAGTGGTCCTCAAATATAAAGATAGGATCGTAACTCTTCAAATTAAAGGAAATGATGACTTCACCTATATTTCTAAACCATAATTCAGAAGAATCTTTAAAATGAAGTTTTACATCTACAAGTCAGCCATGAATTTATCAAAAGCTTAACAACACAAAATATATCAATGATCAGTTGGTCAATGGCAAGATGGCTGGATGGCAGGTTGGCTAGATGTCACATTAGTGTTAACTCATCTCGAATGTGTAGGTCAATGACTAGATGGCTTGATGTTCAGATAGCTGGATGACTAAATGGATAGATGTCACATTTGGGTTAGCTCATCTCAGATGTGTTGGTCAATGGCTAGATGTCTAGATGGCTAGAAAGATAGATGTATAGATGGCTAGAAAGCTAGATGGCTAGAAAGCTAGATGTCTTGATGGCTAGAAAGCTAGATGTCTAAATGGGTTGATGGCTGGATAGCTAGATGTCACATTTGTGTTGGCTCATCTCGAATGTCTTATTCAATGGCTAGATGGATATGTGCCTAGATGGCTAGTTGGCTAGATGGCTGCATGGCTAGATGTCTATATGGCCGGATGGTTATATGTCACGTTAGGGTCAGCTCATCTCGAATGGGTTGGTCATAATTTGAAAATCACTGTCACAAAAAGAATTCTAATGCCATATCTAGCTCTTTAACAATTTCCCCTGTACTGTCACACACAGGTGTGTGGCCACAATAGCGAGTATAGCAAGAATTAGGTTATTTGTGTCAAAGACTTGTCGTATTCAAACTTTTTTTGTCCTAATGACAAACACCAGCAGCAACAAAGGGCGGGCCATTAAAATAGTTTGCTAGAAACGAGGCAACAAAACAGTCAACAATTTTCTCACCTGTGCGATCAGCTGACTGGGGTCTCGGCAAAAAGAAACCTGACTCTCGCCGAGACAGCTGATGTCTTAAAAACCCAGAGTGTCACACGTTGTAGAAGTGGCTCACATAAATTATACATGTATTCTTGGCCACTATAAACCAACGAATTCAAAGGGGAAAGAATCACGGGATGCTCGCTTGTCCCTTTGAAAGTGTCAGATATTTGTAATACTTTGTCTTGATATTCTAATACTTGGTTTTGATATTCCAATCTCTCGTCTTGATAATTTAATTCTTGGTCTTAATATTCTAAACACTTGGTCGTGCTAATCTCATACTTGGTTTTAATATTTGATTACTTAGTCATGACATTCTAATATTCAGTCTTGATTTTATAATACTTGGTCTTGATATTCTAACTTGGTTTTGACATATGATTACTTGATCTTGATATTTTAATACTTGGTCTATCTATTCTAATACTTGTTTTGGTGCAGTAAGTACATCTTTAATGATTGTATTGATACGACTATAAAATGACTGTATTGATTGACATCGCAATCTGCAGTCTTCCCCGAGATCACAATCTGCAGTCTCCCTTAACATCACAATCTGCAGTCTCTCTTTACATCACAATCTGCAATCTCTCTATACATCACAATCTGCAGTCTCCCTTTACATCACAATCTGCAATCTCTCTATACATCACAATCTGCAGTCTCTCTTTACATCATAATCTGCAGCCTCTCTTTACATCACAATCTGCAGTCTCCCTTTACATCACAATATGCAGTCTCCCTTTGCATCACAATCTGCAGTCGACCTTTACATAACAATCTGCAGTTTCCCTTTGCATCACAATCTGCAGTCTCCCTTTACATCACAATCTGCAGTCTCCCTTTACATCACAATCTGCAGTCTCCCTTTACATCACAATCTGCAATCTCCCAATACATCACAATCTGCAGTCTCCCTTTACATCACATTCTGCAGTCTCCCTTTACATCACAATCTGCAGTCTCCCTTTACATCACATTCTGCAGTCTCCCTTTACATCACAATCTGCAGTCTCCCTTTACATCGCAATCAGCAGTCCTCGCAAAATATAAATTGGTACGTTGTAAACGTTATGTTGTTCCTGGTCAAGAATTTTTTATCACAATCTGCAGTCTCTCTTTACATCACAATCTGCAGTCTCCCTTTACATCACAATCTGCAGTCTCCCTTTACTTCACAATCTGCAGTCTCCCTTTACATCACAATCTGCAGTCTCCCTTTACATCACAATCTGCAGTCTCCCTTTACATCCCAATCTGCAGTCTCCCTTTACATCACAACCTGCAGTCTCCCTTTGCTTCACAATCTGCAGTCTCCCTTTACATTACAATCTGCAGTCTCCCTTTACATTACAATCTGCAGTCTCCCTTTACATTACAATCTGCAGTCTCTCTTTACATCACAATCTGCAGTCTCCCTTTACATCACAATCTGCAGTCTCCCTTTACTTCACAATCTGCAGTCTCTCTTTATATCACAATCTGTAGTCTCCCTTTACATCACAATCAGCAGTCTCCCTTTACATCACAATATGCAGTCTGCCTTTACATCACAATCTGCAGTCTCCCTTTACATCACAATCAGCAGTCTCCCTTTGCATCACAAGCTGCAGTCTCCCTTTACATCACAATCTGCAGTCTCCCTTTACTTCACAATCTGCAGTCTCTCTTTATATCACAATCTGTAGTCTCCCTTTACATCACAATCAGCAGTCTCCCTTTACATCACTATATGCAGTCTCCCTTTACATCACAATCTGCAGTCTCCCTTTACATCACAATCAGCAGTCCTCGTAAAATATAAATTGGTACGTTGTATAAGTTGTGTTGTTCCTGGTCAAGAATTTTTTATTTTTTCCAAGATTCGTTAAATTAATCCTAGGAGACAACGTCACTTCTGTCAATGTGTCTTGATACGCACGGTCTTCCTTCTTTGCTTGCGTCACTTCCACTATCAAAACGTCATTTTTTATAAGTTTCCCACGTCAATTATTTGCAGTTTCAGTGGTTCTAACAATATGTGCATAAGAGTACTCTATGACAAACTTGCAGTTCCGCGGTTCTAAAATTATGTGTTTACAGATTATTCTATTAAAAACCTGCAGTTCCAGAGTTTCTAACATTAGGTGTTTGAGATTATTCAAGTAAACGCTTTCAGTTCCAGGGGATCTAACATTGTGTGTATGAGAGTATATAAATATGAGAAAATTACAGTTTTTAGTCCGTGTCAGAATATCAGAAGTGATAAAATGTGAATGTTGAGTGAATAATGCCTACAATACATCTTGTACTTTTTTATTCTTACCCTCTACCACACATACACAGACTCCCACACACACACACACACACATAAACATACAGTGGCGTATCAATTGACTGGATGTCAAAGCTTGTGCGCGATTCCTTTTGGCGATCTGCCTCCCTCGATGTTTTGACACAACATTGAAATAAATTAAACAGCGCAATATCTCTTCAGCGCCCCTCTGTCCCATGACTATCATGCTGATAGCGCCATGTGGTTACCTTACATGCTATAAATTAAGAATCCCTTGACCCAGCAGTCGGCTGTTGTTTAGGATATCACGTGATCCAGTGATGAATGTTACCTGAAAGGCAATGCGTTATTATTAGAGTGTGTGTGTTCCAGTAAAGTTGAGGAAGAGGGGGGGGAGGGTTGGGGGAGAACACGGTTAATTTGGGACCAGTTTAATTTGAATGGAGCAGTTGACTCACTACTTCTTCCCTTCTCCCGTGACTCAATAAGTGTTTCTTTCAAAAGATGTCCCCCCCCCCGGGAGGAGAGGGGGGGGGGCATTTTAGATTCTCAAAAGGGGGGGGGGGGGNGAGTGTTGTTAGTGGGCAGTGGTCAGAGGCGTAGCTAAGATGTGTAAGATGGGACATATTTTCCGGAGCGCCAGACTAGTGGGGGAAACAACATGGGCTTTGGTGGTATGAATGGAAAGTAATTAGTTTCATAGCTAGGGGGGGGGGGACAGGGTTAAAAATAAATCACGCCCCGTGACGCCAAACACTCTCGTTACGCCCCTTCCGGTGGCGTAAAAAGGAGGAGAGTGTTGTTGTTCAACCAGATATCATTTTTCTTTATGAGGAGGTGCAGCATTTTCAGACAACTGCACAATTTGTATCGTGAAAGGAAGACTAATCAAAATATTTGCCCCACGTGGTGAGACACCAATAATAGCTACGCCACGTCAAAATTAGCGATCATTTTCATCGAGGTATTGGGTAGAAATTGAGGTCACCGATGCACATTGCTTTTATTTGTATACATAAAAGCAAGGCAAAAATCATAAAAGTAAACTCAGCCAAGCAAGATCATATCTCTCTTGTAGATTATGCACTGGAAGTAGTGGAGGCTTTCACATACTTGTGCAGCGCCATTGACTTAAATGATGGATCCGAAGCGGGTGTCAGGCTAGGTCAGCATGTGTGCTAGTATCGAAAATATGAGAGTCAAAAGAGCCGACTCTTCACATCAAAGCCATAATTTTCAACACAAATGGCAGGACAGTCCTACTCTATGGAACCGAAACTTGGCGAACTACAGCGAGCATTACGCAGCAAGTGCTTACCTTCATAAACACTCGCCTTAGAAACATCTTGAACATCAAATGGCCAAACACCATCACCAACAATGACTTACTAGAAACGATATACCAAGAGCCTATTAATGTCCCCAAACCCCAAACCCCTAGACACTCAAAGTATGGGATAAACCTCGAAGCAACTAGAAAGGAAAGCACAAGGCCGAGATGATTCCCAGATTTTTTAAAAATTATTTCAAAATCAAGAGGTGCATTTGAAATGTAGTTGAATTCAATGTTTTTATTCGACTTTTTGATCAGGGGAAGGAAATTTTTAAGGGCCTGTGGAGGCATTATGGTGCTGACGTCATACATAAACTGAATTCACTCTAGTTGTGACGTGCCTAAGGGTAATCATTTGGCACAAACTTATATTCAATCGTATACTGTAACTTTGATCAGTGTGGGGGAAGGGGACATTGATCAGTGTGGGGGAAGGGGACATTTATCAGGGTGGGGGAAGGGGACATTGATCAGTGTGGGGGAAGGAGGTCTAGAAATTGAGGATGGTGAAGACAGTCATGCAAATTCAAAATGCAGGGAACGATTTTGAGGTGACCTTTCAAACCTTCACCTTGGAAGCGCCAAATTGAGCCATACTAATGATCAATGACAACATTAGCGCCGTACCAGCGGGACATGAACTAAATTCATTCCAGTTGTGGCGTCCTTGTGGGTAAGCTTGTTCCCTAGCTTAATATAAACTATTAAATCTTTATATTCCACATAAAACTTTTGATAAATTCAAAATAAAGGAATTCTTTTAAGCAGATACTAATTTAGTTCTGCAACATTTTACACCTGGAGGGCAACCGAAGAGATGCTAGTTAAAAAAATGTAGTCATCACTTAACCTTCGATACATCGTATGAGCCCAGCAATTCCAACGACTGCAGTGGGCCTCGGATACTTTAGGGTTTAAAGATGTGATGTGAATATTTTCTTACTTATCATCTTTCAACGCAAGGTGGGCGAGAGGACCCAACCAAACAGAGACAAAAACGCCTTGAAAATTTGAGAAACGCCTCTGCTTCACCAGCATATGTTATGCACATATTTTTTAATTATATTACTAAATAGAAATGTGGCTTGTATTTTTTTTTAATTTAAACCCTTTTAGAGGTTAACTAAATAGAAATTAATAAATACATTTTTTTAAAAAATAAATAAAAAGGAAGAAAAAAAGCTTTCCATTACAAAAGAGCACTGCTAACATCATTAATTATTACATTTGTTAGAGATTTCCACGTTTTACCATCGGCAAGAAGAAGAAAAAAGAACTTTAGAAAGATCTATGCATTTTATGGGTTATCAAAACTGGCCATTTTTGTAAATGTCTATGGACGGTGTTATTATGGAAAGAAGACTCGAGGTGTTTACAAAGTAGTCAAAATTTCCCAATATTCAGTTGATTGAATTTTTTAATTTTTTTATTTGAAACTACTATAACTTTTTTTCAGATAAATTACAAATCGCCACTTTAAAACATTTTTCCCCCCAAAATCCACTGATTTTATTTTAAATAAAATTAGGAATAAGAATTTATTCTGAAACAAGTACCAACAAAAAAATGGGAATATCATAATAATCGAAATGCTATAGTTTATCTTCTTTGTTTAGCTTTCTGATAGTCTCATCTTGAAAAAATGTATTTATTTTTTTAATCTTTGCAAACAGCTTGTTTATTATTCTAATATTAAAAAGACAAAAGAGGGTTGGAATTTTAAAAAATATTGTTTTATTTTTTTTAAACATCTGTTATTCAGGAAACTTTGTTACAAAATTGGCACATTTCAAGAAAACACGAGCGCTTTCGATTCTATAGATGATGAAATGTGCACTATGTGTATGCGCCCGTTAAATTCTTAATAAAAAAAAATAATATATCTCAATGTTTTAAAGTTTCCATTTTATGTAACGCAACATTCATGGAATCGAGTACTTTATAAGTATGCTAATTGATGAAAATATTTTTTAAAGCCTAATGTCATCCTACAATTTAAAATTAACACCTATCCCTACTTTAAAAGTAATGCCTTATAATGAAATATAACTTACAAATAGATTGCGTAGGTTTCATACTTGACAAAAAATAATATTAGAGTTGTATACCTTGATCTAGATGTGCATGTATTTAAATACAGTGATTAAAAAGTCTTAAACTTTGTGAATTTGCAAAAATAATAAATGAATAAAAATAGCGAAATGTGCGAAGTAAAACTTCGGCTTACTATCAGAAGCGGCCAGTACGATATTTATCATCGAATGCTGCAAGCCTTTTACACGATTAGACTTACACATACCGATCATATCATATATCGCACTTAGAGGGAAAACCATCATTTCAATCAAGGGTGAAGATCATTATTTGAATCAAGGGAGAATATCATTATTTGAATCAAGGGAAAAGATCATTATTTGAATCAAGGGAGAAGATCATTATTTGAATCTAGTTAGAATAATAATACTTGAGTCCAGGCTTTCTTTCAGGCATCTTTTCGGGTTGGGGGGGGGGGGAGTCAAGTGCCCCCCCCCCCCCGGGGAAAAAGGGGAAAAAAAAAAAAAACAATTTTAAAAAAGAAAAAACGAACAAAATTTTAATTTTTAAAAATTTTTAAAAAAAATTTGGGGTGGGGGGGGGGGGAGGACAATGGCCCCCCCCCCCCCCGGAGCAAAATGGGTAAAAACAATAGAACGATTTTTAAAAAGTCAAAATCGACTAAATTTTCATTTTTTAACAGTTTTAAAAAGAATAGCATCTTCGTGCAATTACCTGATTACAATTAAAGTGAATGGACACATCAGATGCCAAAATTATCATTTAAAGTTAAATGGACACACCATGTGCAAAAATTATCATTTAAAGTTAAATGGACACACCATGTGCAAAAAGTATCATTTAAAGTGGGGCCTTATCAAAATCTTATTAACACATTTGAGTGTAATGTTTAAATGTGAATCATTAATATAGTTTTAAAATGCCTTTTTTAATAAGTAACGTTTGGGACTGTTTAGTGGAACGTAAGCTTAAATGAACAGCAATTTAGTCGGCAGGAAGTTCATTTGAGTGCAGAATCATAATTTTTTTAAAACGTTAGCACATACGAAAAACACGATGTGGATGTCCGGATCCAGGCATTTCCCATGGCCTGAAATCTCAAAAACACGTCAGTGGCGTAGCTAGGGATTTGGGGGCCCAGGGGGCTTGGCCTCTTTAGGGGCGCCTGAATTTTAACATTCGACTATATTTAATGTAAAAAAAAATTTCGGACACGCCTTTGGGGGCTCCCCTTAAGTAGGGGCCCCGGGGGACTTTCGAATTTGGACCCCCCTCCTCTAGCTACGCCACTGCCGTCTATTTAAAAAAAAATAAAAATCATACACAATGACTAAAATGTGTAAGGAGTGAAGATTTGATTGCAAAGAGAATTTATATGTATACTATCATTTCACCTACACATCTACTATGAAGCTTAATGTGACCTACCATCCCACTGGCTGAATTTAACGTCGTTAGCCTACAATTCTACAAGTCACCTACTGATATGATACAAGGCGCTTATCAATAAGATGCAAGTCACCTGTTGATATGATGCAAGGCACTCATCAATGTGATGAAAGTCACCTATTGATATAATGCAAGTCACCTCTTGATATGACAGGCACTTATCAAGATAAAAGTCACCTATTGATAGGATGCAAGTCACCTGTTGATATGATGCAAGGCACTCATCAATATGATGCAAGACACCTTTTGATTTGATGCAAGACACCTTATAATACACACAATCTCCTCGGTGGTCCATAAACTCCTTCAAAATATTTTCTTGGCAGATGTAATCGATACAACTTACTTCTTACTACCCCTGCCTGCTCCAGACATGTCCTGTTACCAACGTTATATGAACTGTTCGCAACAAGTCCCTATCTCCCCCCACCCCCGACCCCCAACCCCGCCCAAAAATCCTTTGTTGGGCATCTAAAAATAAAGAGCCAAACTCGTGGGGAATGATGCACCTGTGTTTGTCGATGACATGATATCAGCGTCTGTGTCGAATAATATTTATTGTTATCCCAGTTGACATGCAGTCAAATCGAGTTCACACCATCTCGTAAATTGTGTTTGTGTCATCACAAACGGTGCAAAGACAAGGTTTGTTGTTCCTAGTGAACCATCTCACTAACAGTGGCGTGGACTGCGGACGGGGGAGGGGGGGGGTAGCCCTTTTTTCCTTATTTTGAGGAGCGATATTTTTGGCCTTGTGCAAATGGGGCGTGGAGGGGGCTTTTTCATGTAAAGGGGGGGGGGGGGGGGCTTTTGCATGGGGGGGGGGGGGGGGGCGGTAGTTACCACAACTACACACAGTGTACTCACTCAGTAAACATGAAACAACATAATGATTTTTCGAAATGGTAGTAAATTTCCAAACACTAAGACAACAAATACAAAAATTGTGTCCTTAAATGTGAGGGGGGGAGGGGCATATCTTGTTTTGAATATGCGTGGGTAGTCAACACAGGTAGATGGGACGTGCCTTGTTCTATGATTAGATGTCTGCCAACTCAACCCAAGGGGTGGTTGCATAGCTCGACAAAACACAGTTTTAAAAACAAGATGGCGACCTCGACATACAGCAAGCTAGCTCAACTGTGCGTGTGGATTGACAGGGATCAACTATCAACACACACACACACGCACAGCTTGTGACAAACTTTTCGTTTGTCGATTCCGTTTTCTAAATATACTTATGAGATGTTGCGAATCCTTCTTTGTTGTGTTCAGTGACATGGATTTGGGTTAGGTTTAGGTTTAGGGTTAGGTTTAGGGTTAGGGTTAGGGTTAAGGTTAGTGTTGCCAACTAAAAAATAACAAATTTACGGGGAAATATTCAAAGGCTGAACATTTATTATGGACATATTCATGGTAAACTAACGAAGTTAATTGTTAATATATAATAATATGTGTACGCAGTGGCGTAGCTAGGTCTGCTGCCACCCGAGGTGGGGCCAAGATTTAAACCACCCGCCACCTCAACGAAAAAACACGGCAGTTGACCGAAAATGCCGCCCCTCAACATAAAGTGAATAAGATCCAACCCGGGTGGACCGCCCCCCCCCTCCTCAACCTCCCTCTACGCCTACGCCACTGTCCATACGACTATGTTTTTCAATCCTTCTTAAATGGACTTCGCTTTTTTCATTGGCTGGTTCGCAAAATCTTCGGACGGCAAATAGACCTACTTTCCGGCAACCTATGAATCTAAAACTTGGCACAAAGACTGGTTGCCAATGACAACATCTTATATCAAATTTTTAGCCCCAACCACCAAAAATTAAGTTTTTTCCTGTTTGTCAAGTGGAAGATGAGGTGAATATCATGCCACTGATTTCATGAAGTAACATTCCCTATAACTGCACTAAATGAGATTTTTTAAAAATATATTACAAGTGCGTTGGGTGTGTAATATTTTCTTCTTTTTTCCTGAAATAGTTGGTGAAATAAATCTACGGTGTAAAAGCTGGTGTGTCATTAGAATAGTAATATACAATACTTTAAAAATTTAATTCACTGAGGGCTGAGCCAATTTTATAACGTTATTTTGTTGTATGCTATTCTCTTTAGAGTTGAATTTCTCTTCGTCGTGATCATACAAATGTCAAGGGACTAGGAGTATTATTTAACGTTTTGAATTCTACCTTTCTGTTCACTCCAAAAACATTTCGTTTAATATCTGTATTTTAGCCGGATAACCTTAAGATCCTAAGACATTTCCCCGATGAGTCATGTCCGGTTAATTCTTTTCATGACGTTTAGCACCCCGACTTGAAATGTATTTTGTAACAAACCTGGCACACCGAAGAGCCCAATTGTCCCTCCCACGTGATACATATATGTTAACTTTGAACAAATTACACCAATCGCATAATTCAAAAATTAGTGGGAAAATATAAACATAGAAAGAAACTGTATTAATTGAGTTATATGTATTTAATACATGTCACAAGAGTACACAGCTCAGAATTGGCGTGTTGACTGCGTTCTACATATTACTGCATGTCTAGGGTAGTTGCTACCCAAAGGAACAAATTCCCATCGGTCCGTAGGTGGCGCTTTCTTTGCCTATGGGCCCACAGAAGTATCCAGTCTCGCAGGGGCAAAGGTCAAACTGCGTCACCATCTTCTCCGGCTTGGTCCAGGCGTAGGGCTGTTTCGTGTAGCAGTAGTCCGCCACGTCTCCCATGCGACGGCACACTCCTTGCTTGGTGCTGGGATCCTGCACGCAGCATTCAATGTTGGAACAGTCAGCGCCAAGGCTGCAACTGTTGGACATGACGCAGCCGACATGAACCTGGGTGGAGACACGATTGAAATGTTACATCAAGAAATGGCGTCAGCAGGGCCAGTGCCCCCCCCCCAAATTACCCCTCCCCGGTCCGACGTTGGAGATGCCCACTCGTCAGGACGGCCCCCACACGGGCCCCTCACCCAAGTCCCCCGCCTGGGCGCTCGACCAGGACCCCGCCTGGAAGCCGCCCCAACCAGGAGGCACCCGCTCGATCCGACACTATGCAACGATTGAGAGACACGATTGAGAGTTTGGATTCAAGTTAAAGCTATATTTATACTTGTTGCGGTTACAAGCAATAACCTTTACGTCCACTGGAAGGGGTGGGGCGCTGGGTTTGGGGAGAGTGTGGGGAAGCTTGACAGTCTCATTTCCTCATAGTCGAAAGTCACATTTCTGCACAGGTGAGAGACTCGTTTCCTTAATGGTGACAGTCTCCACATGGCGACAACGAAAAGGGGGGGGGGGGGCACCTAGTTCCCAAGGGCCTAATGTCTAATTAAAGATCTGTAGGGGAAGGGATGACGCAAGTAACATGCGCTACAGAAGATATTTTTGGCCTATTGAATATCCCAGATATTATAACGAAAAGGGGGGGGGGGGGCACCTAGTTCCCAAGAGCCTAATGTCTAATTAAAGATCTGTAGTGGAAGGGATGACGCAAGTAACATGCGCTACAGAAGATATTTTTGGCCTATTGAATATCTCAGATATTATTTTGCCTCTGGGGTGTCCTGCTTCCTCTACAAAACCGTCTCTGCACCACAAAATGTTTTATATAAATAGCACCGGGTGAAACTAAAAGGAAGTCACGCAGCGAACTTCATGCGTGACGTCCGAACTACGGTCAATAAGTTGAATTTTTTTTTCTTTTATGAGGATTTTTTTTATGTCACTGTTTTTTTACCATCTTTGTTCTAGGGACGCATGCCACACAGAACTGGGTCATGGGCCGTCCTTTGAATTCGGACATGTGTGCGTCAGTGAGTCTTTTCCCTAGCCTCTAACAGGAAGGTATTGCAATCTCAATTTTCATAACACTGTGAAAGTTGTTTCGTAAGTCTTTGTTATAAAATGGATCACGGTATCTTTACTGTCGACGGGGTTTTTGTACTAAGTCATCTCTATTCCGGTATCCGGCAACTGCCTGTTCCTACCAGTGGGATATTTCTTGAAGCAAACGGTTGACGAAGGCTATGCACTCTCACTACGACATAGAGCATTAGATTTCGTTGCGTATTAAAGCAAATACTTTTTTTAAGTAACGCTTGGACCCTCTCCCCCCCCCCGCCCCAACACGGGTATTTTCTCAAAATAGCCGGATTTGGTGGGGGAAAAAAATTGCCCCCGGTTAAGCCCTATACTGTTTATATAAGCGGCGGTACAGAGTTTAGTTTTGGCATATTGTTCATTTACCAGGGTTTGCGATTGTTTCAAATACATTAACATATTTTGGCCGATCTACACATTCCTGGTGAGGATCGCCCACCAGAGTAGATCCAGTATGCTTAGTGACGACAACAACCCGACTAATTTGTCTGCAATCGAATACATCCTTGCCACCCGTCTCATTGTCTGTAATCGAATACATCCTTGCTGCGGGTAATGAACTTTCAGGGGTTAATACCCCCAAAAAACCGAGTAGTGGAGTCGTAGAAGACATTTTGATTAGGACTCCGCTATCGGCGTTGAATCTTTCAGGATCATACTGTCAGGGTCGTGTGACGTGTACGGTAGAGGAGCTGTAAACATTTCCTCCGCCTTGACCTATGACGTGTCCAGGTCTCTACGTCATAGGAATACCCGGTGCTCTGTAATTAAAGATGTCCTTCAACTAATTATAAGCGTGTTTGGACTGCGGTACAGCTTTCAAGTAGATTCACGAGACACAAACGCACTGTGGCAATCAAACAATACACGTTCAAGCTTTGATACTTATCACACAGAGTACACAGGTGAACTTGTGCTGGTGAAGGCATTTGCCGAGACGTTCACATTTGCGCTCTCTGTGATTAGTATCAAAGCTTGAACGTGTATTGTTTTATTGACACAAATTATTTGTGTCTAATTAATCTAAAGATGCCCTGAGCATTTAAAACTTTAAGACAGGCCTGCACAACATACGGCCTGCGGGCCGAATGCGGCCCGCCAGCACCCACTTGGCGGCCCGAGAAGTAACGAAATAGTCTCTATTATTTTCTTAATAGCTTTCCCCGCTGTCCTATCATCCTTCGGCCCGCACAAGTTTTTCTTAATATTCAAATTATTTCCTTCATGGAAATAGATATTTGCATTTTTTTGTTTTAAATAAGACAACAGATTTTGATCTATCAACCGGTCGTACAAGTATGTTGTTAACACATTTTTTTTTAAGTTAAAAAAATACTCACAATCACAATGAATGCAGCCGCTATTTTGAAGTACTCCATTGTTTGAAGCAGCATGGGTCAGCAGACCGCGTCTAGAGATAACCTGTGCGCTGTGAATAGAAACTCTGACGTCTGTACCGAAGTGCTGTCATCGGTTGTGTCCCTTGTGTCTGACTTTAGCAATACCTGGTGACTCATTGCATCAGTTCATTGCTGGGGGGATTTTTATGTAGATCCTGGCTGGCGTACTTTTCATTATTCCTTGGTAATTTGATGGCGCTTGATTGATAAGCTAATAGCTTTGTGACTGGAAATTCATTATATCACGGAAGGGGAACAGGATGCGAACTGTTCACGTGATAAGACCGGATTATTGGCAACACAATGAAAACTATTATTGTTTTAACATGAACAATATTATTATTAATATTTAAAATATCATTTTTAATGGGGAAAATAACATTGTTAATGTGAAAAGAAAGTTGCATTGAATAATAAATTTAATGTGCTCTATTTCTTTTCAATACTTTTTTTTTCCTTTTACGTCCAAAACTTGGACAAATTTATACCTTTAATGAGATGTAATTTGTCATGTGTATTAGAGGAGGTTGTAATATGTCATGTGTATTAGAGGAGGTTGTAATATGTCATGTGTATTAGAGGATGTTGTAATATGTCATGTGCATTAGAGGAGGTTGTAATATGTCATGTGTATTAGAAGAGGTTGTAATATGGCATGTGTATTAGAAGAGGTTGTAATATTCCAGGTGGATTAGAAGAGGTTGTAATATGTCATGTGTATTAGAGGAGGTTGTAATATGTCATGTGTATTAGAAGAGGTTGTAATATGTCATGTGTATTAGAAGAGGTTGTAATATGTCATGTGTATTAGAAGAGGTTGTAATATGCCAGGAGATTGTAAGGGATCATTGACACAAATATGGATATAAATGACTTACTGGGTTCAGTGGATTAAATTGGATTTTGTTGTATTATAAGATGGCATTATAAAATTAAATTGGATTGTGGATTGTAAAACAAGATTGTATAAATGGGTTTAATAATTTGGAATAATAATTGAACGTGAAATATTTGTTTGGCTGTAAATATTGATGCCATGGACATTAAACCATGACATCATGGACAGTTCACTTTGACATCATGGACAGTTCACTTTGACATCATGGACAGTTCACTTTGACATCATGGACAGTTCACTTTGACATCATGGACAGTTCACTTTGACATCATGGACAGTTCACTTTGACACCATGGACAGTTCACTTTGACATCATGGACAGTTCACTTTAACATCATGGACAGTTCACTTTGACACCATGGACAGTTCACTTTGACACCATGGACAGTTCACTTTGACACCATGGACAGTTCACTTTGACACCATGGACAGTAAAGAATGTCACCATAGATAGTGAGCTAGGGCAAGTTGCACACAGGTCCGGCGCTAGGGGGTGGCGAAGTGGGCGCGTTCCGGTAGTCTATTTATAATATATCTAAGCCTACTAATAGTTCCTAATCCAGTCAACACAATATTCGTAGTTATTCGATAATCAAATGGTCTGAAGGTTAATCTGGCTCCCATATTATCTTAATTTACTGTTATAGGGGAAAATAGAAATTTCGGAATCTAAGAGAGAGAACAAATATCCGTTATGACGCGTCCCATCATAACCAGCAAGGCCGCAGTAGGACTAGACCCTGTAAGTGTCTTAATGTCCTATCGGCAGAATATATATAACGTCAACGGCCCCGCCAAATTCAATTTGCCCAAGGCCCCGCACCCTCCTAGCGCCGGTCCTGATGCACAGTAAACTATAACACCAAGGACAGTACACTTGGACACCGCATACGAAAACTAGGACACCTTGGAGTGTGAACTATGTACATGAACATAGTTTATGACTATTTACTATCTGCATTTTAAAATTTTTTTATCAACATTGACCCAAATTCTCTAGTGACGTGATTGTTTCCAACGAACTTCTGCTCTAATTTAAAAGCCAATCATCTCACAATTCCACGCTTTCTGTCCCAAATCACCTATCATTTATTTCTTTTCTTTTTTTTTTGTCTTTTCATTCTAGCGACTGTGGATTTGTTTCCTATCAAAGCGACCCTGGACTAAATGACCTAGGCCAATGCGGAGCCTTATTGACGGGCCTTTTTATCGAGGGGCCCTATTAAGGGCCCTTTTTTGAAAAGGACCCTTTTATCGGGGCCAACTTGTCGGGAGCTTTATTGATGGGGAGCCCTTCGTCGCGAGGTCATTCATCGCGGACAATTTTGTTGGGGCCCATTTGTCACTGGCCGTTCATATACAACATATAGTTCTTTTGGGGGCACAGGGAAACCTGGAAATAACAAACATTGAAATAGGGGTGCCCCTGCCCTAAGTCGCCACGAAACGCAATCATTTTTTTTAAAACGACAGGCTGGCGGTGGTGTTGGGAAAGGGGGGGGGGGGGGGGGGGGAGGGGGGGGGGGGGGGTCGCGGGAGAGATCAAAGACGCCGAAAGCTCCAGGGGCCACTCCCCCACCCCCCACCCCAAATATTTTTAATAAATTCAATATACAAAGATTCATTTTGGCGCATATCTGAATTTAGTTTTGTATCAATCAACACTTAAATTTTTAATTAGTAAATAGATATTTTCAAAAGTTGCCGATGTGACGTGCCAGCGATTCACGTTAAAAAAAACCAAAACATTTACGACTTTTTTTATCCTGCTGCATGATTCTTCGAATGAGTTGGCGAGCTGAGATATTTTAGGATCAGTTCCGAATGGCTAAAGAAGAGGTCTGACTATTCTGCCCCTTAAAAAATATATATATATATATATATTATAAAAAGTCAGACACAAGAGAAACCACCGATTTTTTGTATAAATAGTTACAAACAGTGAAGGGTTAATTGGTTATACTTTTAGTTGGTCTTCTTTATTATTGTCACCTTACGAAATGTTCAATCTTTTTAGCCTCAAAGGGCCCCAGCCCTGGCGTACTACAATCATTACATATTATGGACAATGAATAGACAGCGATGTGTCCCTATGTGTTGACTGTACCCAGTGCCTCGTACTACAATCATAACATATGGACAATGAATAGACAGCGATGTGTCCCTATGTGTTGACTGTACCCAGTGTCTCGTACTACAATCAAATGTGGACAATGAATTGACAGAGATTTGTCCCTATATGTTGACTGTACCCAGTGCCTCATACTACAATCATTATATGTGGACAATGAATAGACAGAGATGTGTCCTTATATGTAGAATGTACCCAGTGCCTCGTACTACAATCATTACATATGGACAATGAATTAACAGAGATGTGTCCCTATATGTAGAATGTACCCAGTGCCTCGTACTACAATCATAACATATGGACCATGAATAGACAGCGATGTGTCCCTATATGTTGACTGTACCCAGTGCCTCGTACTACAATTGCTACTATTTTTTATTGTTACTACTGTTACAATTTTCCCTATTCTTACGTACCGCTATAATGTAGAGAACTTAATCTCTTATTTTACTCTATGGCACGTGTCAAACAGTCCCTAACAAAGGACGAGACCATGAGTTAATTACTGTCATAAAGAAACGATACCTAAACTAGGCCTAATTACAGACAATCATTTATTAATAAGTTAATTTAAAAGTTATAAAATCAACACAAAAAAAATAAAACTAAGGCTATTGACTTAAAGTACAATGTTGAAGAAGGTGCGCGCGCACGCACGCACACACACACACACGCACACACACTCACACACACACGCACGCACACACAGAGTAAATATTAATATACAAAACTCTGCTCTCTCTCTTTGTCTTGTATCGTAATACAAAATCTCTCATCAAACCGATCGCTAGCCGTATTTATATTCATTTTCAGAGACTTTCCGCAAAGGAGTTCAGCATTATATCCTTATCTTGGTCAATCTCGTACGTTCTAAAGAATTCTATTTCTACAGACTATAGACACGGGGTCTCAAACTCGCGGCCCGCGGGCCATTTGCGGCGCGACAGACGATATTTTGCGGCCCCCTACCTGACAGCAAAGTTTATAATTAATGCGGCCCGCGCGTTGTCCCCATTCTCATATCTATAATGTGACCCTCCGCGACGGTTTCACTCGAATCTCACCGACTAGTCTAATTCTGATTTTTATTATGTTTATATAAAGACCTATAGGTTTTGACGTTGATTATAATGGTAAAAACCGTTTTAAAATCGGACTAAATGGTTTTATTTGACAGCATTTTATGAGACAAACATGGCCAAAGTGCGGTTTTCAGAAAACACGCTTCGAATATTGTATATATATATATTTATATATCAAAATTTAAAAATCCTATTGGTTAATACACAACGATAACTGTGTAAATCGTAGCAATCTGACACAGTATCAAACAATCCCTATTCAAATTGCCGCTAGCTTGTACCAGTGACAAGTGACGGAAATTCCGAGCCTGTCAGCTTGATCTCGTGAAACATGATTTGGGAGTGTTATCCAGGTAAAATATATATTTTATTAAACAATGCAAATACATTTTTGTGTCAACCGACCCCAGTCATATCTTTCTCAAAACCTGCTGTGAAGTTAAAGGTTGTTGATGAGCGCAGACAATTTCAGGAGAAGTGTTAGACCCGACTATTGCTTTGTTGAGCACAGGTGCATTCCGACGTGCTTTATATGCACCGAGAAAGTTGCGGTGCACAAGGAGTACAACATCAGACGTCATTATTAAACCAGACATGCTGAGGAGTAGGCAAAATACCAGGGAGATGAGAGAGTGGACCAGGTCACTAAACTTAAAACATGTCTGCTGAGGCAGCATGAGTTTTTCAAGAAAGCAAACAAAGAAACTGATACAACAGTTGAAGCTAGTTACGTGGTGGGTGAGATGATTGCTAAGGCAGGAAAGTCATTCAAAGAAGGCGAGTTCATCAAAATTTGCATGTCACAAGCTGCAATTTTAGTCTGTCCGGAAATAAGGGTCGGTTTAGCAACACCAGCCTTTCAGCCAACACAGTGGCAGAGCGCATTTCTGAGCAGTCAGGTGACATTTATGATCAACTGTGTGAGAAAGTTAAACATTTCCATGCATACTCAGTCGCTCTAGATGTTACAGACACTGCATAGCTCACAATATTA